ACAGATGCATCATAGAGCGTTTATTCCGTTTTATGCAATTTGACTCAAAATCAGAACTTAACAAGCCTGATTAGTAATACATTTTAAATTACGAATATGCAGTAGAGCTTATTAATATCTTTGTATTTCAATGGAACAGTCAATAATGTACCTATATTTAGCGACTAATCATTAAAATTAAAATAATGAAATTATTATTTATACCAGATTGGGATTATGGATCAAATAGATAAAATACTAATAATTAAAAGATTAGTAAAATTGCAAGAGAAAATTTAAATTATTGTCACCAATTTATTTTATTTCATTTACCCTATAAAATAATGTAAATGGAATAAATTCTGTAAAATTGAAGTAAGAAATTTTAAGTTATATAAGTATTTTTTTTTATATTGCTTTAAGCTCGAAGTGAAATAGTTTTAAATGATTCCATTAAAATTATTGCATACTGTACTACAGTAAATAATATCCATTTTTATTCTTGTGATATATTTCGTACACCATTTTTATGATATATATGGTATTTATTGAAACTTGTGATTTTGACAACAACGCTCTTAAAATAAATAAAAAAACTTGCCTTTTCTTAGCGTGGGAACAGAGACTTTCAATGTGAGGTAAAGTGGTTATTTGTGCAGTGAGTTTGTACTACAATTTCGTTTGACATTCAAAGACCCCCTGACATTTAGAGTTACAGGCGAAAAATATGGCTAACATTCAATTGCGAAATGTTTCCGTGAAAGGTGTAGCCTAGTTTACGTTTACGCACTCTAAAATTGTGGTGTTGTTGTATTAGGGTATTAGTATAGGTAGATATAACTTGTTCCATTGAAGTGGAACAACGTGGGCTCCTAACAATATCGAGCATCTACTTCGTTAGTCAATATTCATCAGGTTCGTGACTTCGTGAAATACCCTCTTAATGGAGAACTACAACCCCACAATGTAAAACGACGTTTTGTTATATATTCCATTTTAAAAAAAATTGTTACTTCATTGAATAAAGTATTCCTAATATTTACAAGTAAATATAATAGGAGGGTCTGTTTGTAATATTAAAAAAACGCATTATAATTATAAATATATAAACATCTATTCTCTTTTCGGCTTAGTTTTTTAAAGAGTAACTTAGACTATATTCCACGCGGAGGATGTCGCGTGCATAGCTAGTTAACAAAAAAACGAACATCATGCCGGTTTTTAGACAATGATAGTATTGTCTGCCCACTGTGTTGTTAATTTGTTGTCTTTTTAGTTTAGTTTATAGCTTCAACAAGATTGAGAAAGGTAGTAAAAATAAAACAGCCCGAAGAGATGAAATAAACTAAGCCTAATTTATCGTATTCGACATGGCAGCGGTAAAGTTACTCTATTAAATGTGTTAGTTTTTATTTATTTAATTAAGTTAAATAAGTTCGAATTTCCTTAATATAAAAACAGTAATTAGTGATGATGAAGCTGGGAGCTGTTGGCAGCAGAAATATGTTATCGGGCGGATGTGCGGACGGAAGGCCGGCTCCGCTATATCGCTCACTCATTTGCCTACCAGATCAATGGTTAGCCTCACGACCTTTTTTGGCTTTTAACACGTCACAAATTATTATTATCAATAAATAAGTAATAAAAAGAATGACTTTTTCAAATGAAACAAAAATTATTAATAACTAATGTCATGATTTTAGTCGGTAAACGTACACAGCCGGACAAAGGCCTCCCCGAAGAAAATAATTTAGTATTTGATATTAAATAGGTATAGTAATTGATATTTATATTTAGGTTTTATACAGTATCTCAAGTTACGACCAACAAAGTTGTTGTTTTAAATAATACAGTAAAAGCCCAATAAATAATAAATTATGAATTTTGTCGAATTTTATATTAATGTATGCTATATTTACTGAATACACAAATGGTAGTCTTAGGATAATAATTTTTATAGTAGAACATAATTATCAAATGATATTTTTATAATTTCTTAAAAGTACCTATATCGTTTAACAAATCGCCTTTTATTTAACATTTAACCTTTTATATATACGTACATACATATACACCCGTGATTTTTACTAAAACATACTTTCTAATTAACAGTTTCTCTTATCGCATAGGTCTACGAGAAAGCTCGTGCACATAGTCACGTGACATTCCTCTTGCCTGTGAAGTAGAAAGGGTCCTGTTGCCATAATAATGACCAAAACAAAAAGCGCATCCCGAAATGCGTCGTTATTTTTGTTGGTAAGCGCCCGTTTCGGAGAACAGGCAACGGGCGCGGGTGGAAGCGGTCGTCGCCTCGGCCAGGGCCGCATTCCGTATAACGAGTTTTACAACAACAAAAAGTTAGTCATCGATGTACGTTACATTGTGGTATTGTTTTAAGTTTGAAATTTGATAGATATTTAATGTTAAAAATATTTTCTTAAGAACGTTTTGATGGCTATTTTCATTTGATAAAGGAAGGATTAATCTATAGTCGAAAGTGGTTTGGCAGACCAAATTTCTATCTATACTAATGTTATAAAGAGGAAAGATTTGATTTTTTGTTTGTATGTATATTTGTTTGCTTGCATCGAATAGGCCCCGAAACTATTGTAAGGGCGCTTGTGCACTACACTGAATTTTCATGTCCGGCGGCCCGATTTTTTCAGGTCCGATATGTCAGGCCATATGTAGGTAATGCGCGCTTGTGCACTGTCAGGAATTTTACCGTCCGGAATTTTACTTTTCTCTATTCCGGACCGGTTTTTTCAGGTCCATGATGGCAGCGATGAAAAACGTGTTTACGCTTGTGCACTGCTGTGTCCGAGATCCGGAAAATTCATTAGGCTTGGGAAAAAATAATCGATTTGAATCGATATTTATTTCGGCAATATTGTTAATTTCCAATAAACTTATAATCGATATTTATTGTTGATTATAAAATGCTATATTTTATATGATGATTTAATATAGTTGGTATATATCACTGCATATGCTTTAGCAAACTCGGTATAGTTCTAATTTGATCAGCGTATGGTTCTAGTATCGATACTTAGCTAGATTTTAGAATCGTATTAAAAGTATCGATAGCTTAAGGTACCATAAATAAGTTTTGTTACGCTTAGACGCCTAAACAACTGAAACCATCTAAATGGAAATTAATATAGTAAATAGACTTAACTTTAAGAAAGGACATAGGCTACATTTTATCGCGAAAAATAGGGGATGAAAGTTTGCCTGGAAATTTGTCATTATCTAATTTTTTTAGACAATTGATAAGTATAGATAAATATTTGACAACAGAAGTAATAATAAAGAATAAACAGAAGATTAACAAAAGTAATTAAGTGACACTCAATGTTTTTTTCGCATTTAATAAAATTTTAAATGTATGTTTGTGTCATTAATAAATTTTAAAAAATAAGTATTCTAAGGGAATAATATTTCTGCTCAAAGAAACTACACCACGCGTATAAAATTATGCCTATATATAATACAGTCAACTGATCTCGTAGTTCATTTAGCATAATAATTCTCCGCTAACACGGCACTAATTTCGATTTGTTTACGAAATGGCGCCACCGATTGGTCTATCTCTGTAATCGCTGAAAGTTGTTTTTACAAAACTTCGAAAAAAATAGCACATTTAAAAATATTAACATCAAGTACTAGACCATTATCAGTAATTTTATTCTAATGTCAGATATTTTTAGCTATTGTATGTGAATAATGCTGTTCCTAAATTAGTAAGGGTATAAGTTTTTACATCTGATAGGAGTCATCCGATAGTAGTAAAAAAAATGCTGTCGTCTTGCCATAATTTATTATGGTTTATGTAAAACGATCAGATCATTATTTAGGTACCTTTCTACGTCTTCGAACGGAATTACCAACGTTCCAAAAATCTCATCGTACCTAGCGTAAGTGACGTGTAGCTTCAAAGAGAGCTGCCCTACACTGCGCTGCTCCGATCAGGAAAAAAACGGACAAGTGCACAAGCTACTCATCCGAGTTTTTCATGTCATTCCGGACCGGAAAAAATCGGACCGCCGGACCTGAAAATTCAGTGTAGTGCACAAGCGCCCTAATTATATCCGTGACATAATATGAATCGATATCCAAATAAACAGTACCCTAGGGACCACGCGGGTGAAGTCGCTGGCGGAAACCTAGTAATACCACCGTAGCCGTGTGGTTCCCATGCCGGTTTTAAGGTGTTGTCATGTCTGAGGTCCTGGTTTCGATTCCAGATAGGGTTGATGTTGCGGTACCTTCGTTGTCTCAGATAATACATAGTACATGGGCTTAAGATACTCATCTTGGAATCTGAGCAATGTATATAATATTGTATGATAATAATAACATGTATTATTAATATAATATAATGTTTGTTCGGAATGATTATAGTAATACATAATAGGTCAAATACTTATGTGGTAAAACAAGAGACAAAGTCAAATACTATTTAACATCGGCTATCCAGTCGAAACGTATGCTAAATAACGATATTGTTTTTTTACATTGCCTAGTGTATCTTGCCTTAATTTTTGTTTTTTATACTGTGCCGTCTTATCTATTTATACAGACTTTTTTAAATAGCCTTTAGCATTTGTTGTTTTTAATTTCCCTGTTTTTGTTTTAATAATTAATGTAGCATTAGCTATATAAATAAATGTAACGAACAATAACATAAATCACCAATTCGTTTTTTTTTGTATCCACACTTAAAACGTATCTAGATCATTTCGAGGCTAATATAAAGATCTGAAACCGGTGGAAGTGTAATAAATTATAATTTTATGTGACTATTTTAAATGAATAGAAATATAAATAATTGACTTTTATTTATCTTTGGCAAAGTATATATTTAGAAATTGTAGTTGATGTTTGAAAAATTACCCTACCCGAATGCGGCCCTGTGTATGTAGGGCAACGGGGCGAGATGAGGCGAGGCGGGAGGGACAAGCGATGGCGCGAGAGTGGCGGCCGGCTCCGAACGGACCAGTGCAGTGAGTGAGCGGCGTGCGGAGAGCCTGAACTGTGGCATGGCTCTGCGCGCTTTGTTTATCGTGTGGGCGCTTATCGTCGGCGGCGGCGCCGTTTATAACAGGGAGCGTGACCGCCTTCGCGCCGATCCTCGTCTGCTAGATCGTGCTTGTGAACTGAGTTCCTGTTATCCTGCTACGGGCAATTTGCTGATAGGACGTGAATCCCGACTTTTCGCCTCTTCGACATGTGGCCTCTACGGCCGTGAGCGCTACTGCATCGTTTCTCATTTAGAGGACCGAAAAAAATGCTTCTGGTGTGACTCTACCAATAATACAATACACAATCCAAACTTGAATCATCGAATACAGAATATAATTTACAAGTTTTACCCGGGAACGAGAAACAAATCTTGGTGGCAATCAGAAAATGGCAAGGAAAATGTTTCGATTCAACTGGATATGGAAGCCGAATTTCATCTTACTCATTTGATTATAAAGTTCAAAACGTTTCGACCGGCGGCTATGTTAGTAGAGAGGTCTTTTGATTTTGGAAAAACTTGGCGCGTTTATAGATACTTTGCATATAATTGCGATGAATCTTTCCCTGGTATTCCAAAACACTCCCAACGATCTTTGACCGAAGTTGTTTGTGAATCTCGATACTCAGGAGTCGCTCCTTCCACAGAGGGCGATGTAATATTTAGAGTATTGCCCGCAAACATAAATGTTACGAATCCATATTCCGAAGAAGTGCAAAACTTATTACGAATGACAAATCTACGAATAAATTTTACGAAATTACACACACTCGGTGACGATCTTCTTGATAACAGAGCTGAAATACACGAAAAATACTACTACTCCATATATGAAATGACTGTGCGCGGTTCATGTTCCTGTTATGGTCATGCGTCTCGATGTTTACCAATGCCCGGAGTGGAATCGAAAAATAATATGGTGCATGGCCGCTGTGAGTGTACTCATAATACGCGGGGACTGAACTGTGAATATTGTGAAGACTTTTATAATGATTTACCTTGGCAACCGGCGGTAGGAAAAACGTCAAATGCTTGTAAACGGTGTACATGCAACAATCACGCTACTACTTGCCATTTCGATCCTGCTGTTTATAATAAAACTGGTAAAATAAGTGGGGGAGTTTGTGATAATTGTCAACATAATACAATGGGATTAAATTGTGAACGGTGCAAACCTAAGTACTATAAAGACCCGAACTTGGATATACAAAGTCCCGATATTTGTAAACAATGTGACTGTGATCCCGACGGTACAACTGATAAGGAAATTCTTTGTGACGATGAAACAGACCCGGTGTACAACAAAACTGCTGGGCGTTGTCTTTGCAAACTAAATGTAGATGGCTTAAGGTGTGATAGATGTAGGGACGGTTATTGGAATTTTGATCCTAAAAATCCAGATGGTTGTATTTCATGTACTTGTAATAGTCTAGGTACAATTAATGAAAGAGGATGTGATCAATTAACAGGCAATTGCTTCTGCAAACGTCATGTCACAGGTAGGAATTGTGATCAGTGCTTACCTGAGTTTTATGGCCTATCCGACACTGATGACGGCTGCTTACCTTGTGATTGTGATGTGGGCGGTTCCATCGACAGAGACTGTGATGTTATAACGGGACAATGTAAATGTCGGCCAAATGTAACAGGACGCAGATGTGATCAACCTATACAAAATTTCTTTGTGGGAGCTCTCGACTCTATAATCATAGAAGGTGAGTCAAGTCAATGTGATTCTCAAATAGACGATAATGCTATACAAAGTCAAGTTTGTCATGTTGTTATTAGAGAAAACTTCCCAGAAGGAAGAGAAACATGGACAGGTCCTGGATTTATGAAAATACCAGAAGGCAGTACCTTGGTGTTTGTCGTCAATAATCTAAAAACTAGTATGAATTATAACGTGTTGATTAGGTATGAACCACAGTCACCTATGAACTGGGAAGAAGCAACTATATTAGTGAAGAGGCTTTTACCAATAAGTTCTGATTCGCCTTGTGCAAATGTTCGCCCTGAAGATGATACTGTTTATACGAACTTACCAGCTAATCAGCGTAGTGTTCTTGTAAAACCAGCAGTTTGTTTAGAAAAAGACAAAGAAACTGAAATCAGGATTTATTTAGGAAGACAAGATGGTCATACTTCAAATTCTAGAGCTTCAGTTTTAATTGATTCGATTGTACTTATTCCATCGTTCGAAGACTTGCCATTTTTAGCTAATGGAAGCTCCATGAGAGAAGAGTTCGATAGATATGATTGTGGTAATGCATATTATTATAGTCTCAATAGAGATACAGTACCAGAAATTTGTAAAAAGTATCATGCTAGTATAGGTTTTTATATACGAAACGGTACTGAATCATGTCAATGTGACCCATCGGGATCAAAAAGTCATCAATGCAATCCCTATACAGGATACTGCCAATGTGTTGAAAACATTGTAGGACCAAGGTGTGATCGCTGTGCCCCTGGAACCTATGGATTTAGTAAATTTGGTTGCAAACGTTGTGATTGTAATAGCATAGGATCACTTGATAATTTTTGTGATGCTACAAGTGGACAATGCAGATGTAGAGCTAATACTTATGGACGCGCTTGTGACTTATGTCAACCAGGCTATTTCAACTTTCCTAATTGCCAGCAATGTGAATGTAATGGACATGCAGTGGAATGTGATGATAAAACAGGTGCTTGTAAAGAATGCACAGATTACACTGAAGGACATCGTTGTGAAAGATGTGTTGATGGATACTATGGAGATCCACGCCTTGGTGTAGATATCTCTTGTCGGCCTTGTCCCTGCCCGGGTGTTATTGGAGATTCGAATAAAAATAGCCACGCTGATCGGTGTGAGTTAGACCCTGATACTAAGGATGTAGTTTGTGACTGCAAGGAGGGTTATGCAGGTCTCCTCTGTGATGTCTGTGCTGATAATTATTATGGAGACCCTATAAAAGGAACATGTGAAAAATGTGAATGCAATGATAACATTGATATCACTAAACCAGGAAATTGTGATCCATATACAGGAAAATGTTTGCAGTGCTTACATAACACAGCTGGAGATAACTGCGAAGTCTGTCAAAAAGGTTATTATGGAAATGCCATTGAAAAATCGTGTAATAAATGTAACTGTTCGGTTTTAGGTACGAATTTTACAATAGGAAACTGTGATGGTATAACTGGACAATGTCCTTGTTTCAATAATGTGATGGGAATCAATTGTGATCAGTGTACAGAAAATCACTGGAGAATAGCTTTGGGGACAGGATGTGATCCCTGTGACTGTGACCCAATTGGATCTTTATCTCCTCAGTGTAATCCATATATCGGAAAATGTGATTGCATACCAGGACACGGTGGTAGACAATGTGATCAATGTCAAGAAAACTTCTGGGGAAATCCTAACGTAGAGTGTCATGAATGTAAATGTAATATATATGGATCACTATCACAACAGTGTATGCGAGAAAATGGTTCATGTATTTGTAGACCAGGTATAGGTGGATATAATTGTGACACTTGTGCAAGAGGCTACCTCGGCGAGGCACCAAACTGTTATGCATGTGGCGAATGTTTTGATAACTGGGATAGACTTATAAATGATCTACGAATTCAAACTGAATTTGCTATTGCCAATGCCAGTAAAATAAAAGTTGTTGGTGCGACAGGCGCTTACACAAGAGATTTTGATGAAATGACAAAGAAGTTAACGGATGTAGAAAATATGCTTTTAAGTGCCAAACAAGGACAAAAAACCGTAAGATATTTATTAGCTAATATAACCACGTTGCAAGAACAGCTTATTGCAGCCGAAGAAAAAGTAAAAGTAAGCAATGACCATCTTAATGAAGTCACATCTAAAATTAATTTAGGTAATGTTACTTTGGATGGCCTAAGAAAAAGTATAGATATCTTAAAGTTGAAAACTATTGATTTAGGTAATAATGCAACCAAACTACAAGAAGCCAATTTAGAAGGAGCTTTAAACTTAACCCGTGAGGCAAAGCAGAGGGCAACAAAGGCATCTGATGAAGCAGAAAGTGTTCAAACAATAATTGCCAATACTGATAGACAAATAAAAAATACAGATCGTCTTATAGAACTTCAGTATATGCACTTTAATAATACTCAAAATGAAAACGATAAAAAACTTGATGATATACAAAGTCAGCTATCTAACTTGGAGTCTCGTGTGCCGAAATTGAATGAAAAAATGTGTGGTCAAGAAAGTGATAACTGTGATATATGCGGTGGAGCTGGTTGTGGAAAATGTGGTGGAATATCCTGTGATCAAGGTGCAGTTACTAAAGCAGAGCAAGCATTAGATTTTGCAAATAAAACTGAACATCGGATTAAGGAACACGAACTAACGGCAGAAGACTTATTTAGATCAATTTCTCAGGTGAAACAAGATACTATTTTTGTCCGGACTAAAGCAAAGGATTTATTTAATAGAGCAAATGATTTTAAATCATCATCTGAGAGAATAACAAATGAAAGTATTGGATTAACTGCTGACTTGAAAGAGTTTTTGTCTAATACGTCTAATACCCCAGCTGATGTTAGAACCTTGGCAAATGAAATATTAAATCTTTCAATAAGTATCGAACCAAAAGAGATAACGGAATTATCGCAAAGAATCAATTCAACTGTATCACAACTGACGAATATTGAAAATATAATAACTGAAACCAAACCGGATTTGGAAAGAGCGAAAGCTCTCAAGCAAAATGCTACAGCTGTAAATAAATCTGCGAATCTTACTTTGGAAATGGCAAATAAAGTTTTAAAAGCATTGGATGAAGCACAAGCTGCACAAGACGCCGCAGAAAATGCTATCAACAAGGCCAATAGTGACATCAAAGCTGCAAAAGGTGACTTAGTACCCATAGCTCAAGAAACTGAACAGGCTCAGAAAAAAGCAAACGAAACAAAAGACGAAGTGGAAGCATTAAGATTGCGACTCTCAGATTTACAAAAAAATATATTGAAAATTGAAAGCGATGCTGAGCAAGTGAAACAAGAGGCTAATGATGTTGTCAATAGAGCAGAAGGCGCCGAATTAAAAGCTAGGCAATTGCGACAGGATTTCAAACAAACAAACATGTCCCTTTCTGAGCGCGCTAGTCAAACCTCAAATTCCAGAGAACGCGCTCAATTATTGCTGAATCGTGCTACAAAACTAGCTAGTGAAACACAAATGCAACTAAAGCTACTTGCTAACATGGAAGAACTGTATAACGACCACAACGCACAGTTAAATACACTAGAAAAGGAAATTGGAGAATTAAATAATTTAATGAATTATTACCTATCTGAAATAACAAAACGATCAGACTACTATAGATCATGTACAACGTAAAGTGACTTTGGCGAGGGAATGAATATTCGAAAGAATGGTTATTGTCTGCCCGAGTGCCATAGTACTTCATTTTAACAAATAGTCATAGTCATTGTTGATTCTTTTATAAAAATGTAGTTAGACTGCAACATGTATGTATTGTATTTGGTTATTGCAAAAATAATGTCGCCTGCACTAAATTGAAATATATATGTACTTCTGATAGTTGATTATTATGCCATTTTATTGACATTAAATAATAAATATACGTAATAAGAAATAAATAGTTACCGTCAATAAAGATTGAAGGTATCGATAATCTGCAAGTTATTGCCGACTGATTCTCTAATTCTTCAGATTTTTTTTTCTATATTTGTCTTTGATCACGTATCTTGCTCTGTAAATTAGAAGATATAAATCATCAATACAAATTCAAGTTTGATTTTATTAATGATGATGTTTGAGTTGCTTATTTTTTAAATAAATAATGATTTTTATGAAAAAGAATAAGATAAATTAGTTGGATATTATTAAAACTATTATTCCAAAGACTTTTCATATATAATTGTGAATTATTTTATTTGTATTATATTAAATGTAAAAAACAAACTGTTGACAGACTCGTCTTTTAAGTTATAAGGTTAAATTAGCAGAATGTGTGTATGTACTGTTAGCTAGATTTTAAATCCTAATATGTGAAAATATTTTTCATTTGTGTATAATTAATATAAAAAGTAATAGTTATGCAATTTGTATCAATTTTAACGTTATCGTGACGACTACGAAGTGTTCGTTAATTTAATGTTGTATGTAGAAGTGCGAAATGTTTTGTATGTATTATCTATCTATTGTAACAATAAGCCGTATGTGCCATATTCTTAATATCCTATATTTATTTAAATTTATTGCATTTATCTGAATTCTAAACTTTAAACAGACTTGTTTAATACTAAGATTTCCTATTTTTTTTATGTATACATATTTTTATATTGACAATTTTAGAGACTTTAATAGTCATAATGTATTGCAATGCACCGATACTTAATTGTGAATAAAACTTTAATTAAAACTTGTAGATATTTTTATTTTTTATCCTCTATATTTAATCTTATGATTCTTCGAATTTGGCTTTCAATAAAATATATGTAAGTAAGGGTACTGAATAATTTGTACCACAAGCACAAAAATGCCTGTCCGGGTGAATAGCTGACATCGATGGAAACGAATTATTATAACACAAAAAATTTTAAACGTCACGTTTCTAAAATATAAGCCGTCAATGTTGTATTGTTGGATTACAGTATAGTCAAAGTACAGTGGCTGTCTTATATTGACATCGGTTTCCTTCTATTGATGTCAGCTACTGATTCAATTAAACTGCTTGGTAGACCGCTATTTAAATAAAAACGAGTATGTAAGACATCAAGTTAAGAAAATAAATGCTGTCCGCTTAAATTTTGATTGAGTCGTAGAGTCTAAGAGATTTTTTGTTTATTATTACTTAATTATACACCAGCCAACAGAATGCTCTATCACACAAGCGCATTATAAATTTGTCAAAAGAATCAAAATTTATGCAATCGAATAAGTAATGGCAATAAAAATGTTAACGTATTTTAACATAATAAATAAATAATATCAAATAATGTAATTTGACACTATTTATTTGATGCGTTATTAAGTAAATACCTAACTAATGGGCGTAGGATGGAGGGGGGCGGGACAGAACTTAGCTTATATTTAAGCATACGGTACACACACAAATCGTTGATATGGCGAAAAGAGATAACTTATAAAGAAAAGCTATAGGGTAAGGTGGGAACAGTGTTACAAGGGGCACATTAAAACAATGGACATGTCTTCAGCTATGTCAATAATTTTGATAATGTTGGGACACAGTGTTGACAAGCTTTTAGACGGTCATCTTGAAATAGTTTGGCATTGCCTCTGTTTATACAGGGTATTAAAGTTATTTAATAAAAAATGAATATGTATGACTAAACGAAGAAAAAATAATGTTACGTTTTTAACTTTTTCCTGATATATGACATTTTGGTTAATGTTTACAATTTTCATATAATAATTGTTAATTTAGCTTCAGATCATCGTTAACTAATACATATTGTAAACATAATTGCAGTTACTCATTTGAATATTTTGGTTTGGGGGCGTGGGCACTGTGTTACACTGAAAAAATGGGCCCCATTTAAAACCTATTTAGTATTGTACCCTAGGTTTTAAAAGATTATAATAGGAAAATGTAAAAGAAAAACGGATTACGGTCTTCATACTGAAAAGAATATGAGAAAAGTGATTCTGATGGTCTAAAGTGGGATAGGTCTTCGAAAGGCAGCAAATAAAAAAAAATGAAGCACCTTGCGATTTTTATTTATTCCCGAAAATAAAAGAACATTCCCTGTAAAAGTACCTCAGTTACGGTGCTCATCGTTACAATCGACTTACCTGGTTAATATGCCATTTAAATGAGGTTGTTGGTAATAATAGTCATGTTATAATAATTCAAAGTAAAGAGAGATTGTTATAGTTTATATCCGAGTCAGTTACAAGTTGATTTAATCGATGGTTTCGTCGTCAATCGTCGTTTGTTTTTTTTTTGGTAACAGCTCCACTTTACTTTAATTCTTGTTTTGTTACAATTTGAACCGAAATTCATATGTTTTTTAATGTACGAGTAAAACATGACGGTAGCAGTCATTAGGTATAGTTTTATACCTGTGTTATTGTTTCGAGCAATATGAATATGTAATTTACACGTAATTTACTTTTTTATTTTTTGTTTATTGTATCTTTCTATGGTTGTTACTATGTTAATCTTAATCTTACTTAATTATTGTATACCAACATTAATTCAGTAATTATACAATACATAAATTCAACACGAAAATATTTTTGTTTAACAAAGGCATCTTCATTTATATTAGGTAACAATTTGTATACAACGTCATACATTCAATGGTCCTTCGAGCGAATTATTTTGTATGATATCATACTAAATATTTTATTGGAACTCTACTAAAAGAAAGTATAAATTATATCCTAGAAAATTTATATGAGCTGCTATGCACGCTTAAAATTTTATAAAAAAACAAAATATTTTACTGCAATTGTGGGAGTATATTAAAATCTACTATAACATAATGCTATAATGTAGCAAAGCAAATGCATCTCTGATTTTTTATATTGATATCATAGATCTTTAATAGGATGAGACTTTCTATTTGTCATAAGTTTCCCAAAATATAAAAATAATCTTCCATATGAACAATGACAATCTTCATCGTCGGCTTTATCGTCATCGTTGTAATTTCTAAAATTTTCTTGATAGAAAATTTCCTATCTAGTTAGATACCTTGATGGTCTAACTATATTCAATATCTTCTAGTAATTGTTTTCTTTAATTCAATCGTTAAAATCTTATTACGTGAGAGTCGCTATTATAATGCAGAGGTGTGGTATATTAAGAAATTATACAGTAATCGCAAGGATTTATCAGTAACTAAGTGCTTAATATTAATTTTGATAATGTATTTTGAGCTATCATTCCGATCTTTTAATTTCCTGTAGTGTTCTCTTTGTCATTATGCCCAGTTTTCAAGAGTCTAATATTAGAATATTATCAGGTGGCTATACTTGGAGCCGATTTTATGCAACGACGATGGGGAGCTCGGGACCAAGTTCCGCAAGGTAGATCTAGCGTTCCGGCAAGTGGCGCGGATGATAGAGGGTGACTCGAGACTCTCAGCGCTGTTGCAATCAACCAGGCTGCAGCCGATGCTGGACTCGATATCGGAGCAACTTCACGCTTGCCAGTCAGCATTGAACCAATATATAGATGTAAGTATCGTTTATCTCATGAGACGTTTATTTCGCAAAATACGTATATTTCTATACTCTTAAGGAATATAAACTGGAATAAAAGGATACTTCCCGTTTACCTATAACTATGAAATTTGCCATGAAACACAACTTTTCGGTACCTACGTGTAACTTCAAGTAAATTACAAACACCATACATATTTTCAATTAAAGTCATAATGAAAGGTATTCTTTTAAGGGGTTGAAATTATTGATATTATATTTAATTCAATTCCTGAACTATTTGCGTACTTAACCCTCGGTGGGAAAGACCAACTTGCACTTTTTTTTTAAAAAAAAGACCGTTTTTTTTTAATCGGTTAAAAATAACTACCACTGTTTTCAGTTGATGCAGATTGATTGTTATAGTCGCGGTTTTACATTCAATGGTCACTACTATTATTATATTGCAGGAGAAATGATTAATCTTTCCTAGACTGTATTTCTTAAGTGATGGCGATCTATTGGAACTTTTGGGTCAAGCGCGAGCCGGTGCGGAAGGCCGGGAGGCTGTTATGCAAACGCACCTCAAGAAACTATTCCCTGGTATTTCTTCGGTGAAACTCGGCCCCGAAGGTTTGTCCGTCACTGCATTCTGCTGCCAAGGAAACGACACGCTACAACTGGACCATCCTGTTGATATTGACTGTCCCGTAGAGGTAATTTCTTGTAACTTTGTTTTATTTATTTTTTTTTAATTTTCTTCTATCTGCTAATAATGTTTTTTTTTAAGATATTGATAAGCAAAACAATATATGTTAAAATGTATTTAGTTAGTGCAGCAAAAACCAGTAAGGCTTGTCCATGTACAATTGAAAATAACTTTCAGTGTTATTAAAGAAGCAGAGTATTTTGATATGGATGATATAAAAATGTATCAAGTTTCATTTAAGAGCTAAATGTACTTAGATAACGTAAAGTAGTTTATGCACAACATAACATGAACAATATTACTAACACTACCTTAAACTTTAATTTGTATGGGCGACCTTACTGCATACCAATGAATTCTTCCAGGCAACTTAACATAGGTAACAAGCCATCATAGGATAAGATAATAGTGATTGAGATAGGTTGTGTACATTATGTAATAGTTATATGTATAATAGGGATGACAACTAATTTTTGTTCGTTAGTCCGTCGGGTAGATTGTTGAAAAATATCAAACACGTATTTTTTTTTTCGTAACCATTAATTTTTGACTTTTGTGCACGTTTTTATATATTTTCTACTACACTGTGATGTAGCGAACCCCCACTCCTCAATTTTAATGCCTGTTATCTAAGCTATTTCTTGTTAAATTGAAGTTAAAAAAACACGTATCTGATATTTTTCTATTATCCGTCTAACGGACTAAATAGAATTTCTTTTTTTTTTTACCCAGTTTTCATGTAATGATAACATTATAAGATAACAAAATCAAATTATGTGTGTAAAATTGTCTCATCTTTCAGTAATATTTATTTAAATTCTTCCAAATGGATATTTTCTGATAAATGACTAGTTATTATGAAATCAATTTATGTTATTTATTAATTTACGTACTAGATTAAATAAATGTACCTATCTCTATAACCCTACGTTTTTAGGTGTGGCTGAAAAATCTTGAAAATGAGATGCGCTCATCTCTTCACAACATGGCCTTAAAATGTATCGTGACTAGATCTTTACAAGAGCAAGATCCCTTTACACTGGCAACACAAATACTTTGCTTAGCACAAAACATTCGATTCACCGAGCAAACCGAAAAGGCTATAATAACAAAAGATCTTCACAAGTTAAAAGCGAACATTGAAAATGAGAATTCCTATTACTGCTCGACCGAAATAGAAGACGAAAGTGAACGTTATAAAAGACAAGCGCTCATATTACAATGTGCTCATTATTTGTGCGTCATAAGAACTCTGATAGATAACAATGTAGTATCGACGAGTGACTGGCATTGGCAAAAACAGCTGAGGTAAGCCACTATAATGTAAACATCATTATGTTCATGTATGTGATCGAAATTCATTGATATTGTGATGCAATAAACAACTTGAAGTAAATTTTACATTATCTACTTACGTTGCTATAAAACTGTGTTTATATAATAACGTAAACCAAATATTATTTTGGAGGCAATCTTGCACAAATCTGAAAATTTTTCTATATTCTTGATAATATGTTTTTAATAATAGCTGTGGATTGTGCAAAATAGTAAGGTTAAACTAAGAAGCCTCTATTCTATAATGTATTGTAAAGCCGGCCGCTCCGATGCATATGTAGTGTTGATAATTTTTGTTG